GAAAACCGAAAAGACCGGAAGCTGCAGATCAGCAATTGTTTGCTGTACCACGAGAAGGCGACACGAAGACGCAGTATGCCCCACCAAAGGTATCCCATCGATGAATGACGGGCATGACGCAATACTCTGGAGAACGAGCCGCGGATATAGCCATGAACGAACGCAAGTTTCGTAAGCGACGGCGGCAGTTACAACGGCGAAAGAGAGTAAATCCGAACTTCGGGGAAGCTCTACCCCGCGCTAGGTGGGATGTCATAGCTACATATATGCTGTCATTCCCACACAGCTTCAAGTATAGACTTTGACGCCCAAAACACGAATACACCAGACCCCGCTACCTACAAACAACATGACTAGAGTACTACTCACAGGAGGAAGCGGCTTCATCGCTGCGCACACCCTCGATATTCTCCTAGACCATGGGCACAGTGTAGTCACCACGGTGCGCACCCAGGAGAAGGCGGACAAGATCAAGGAATCATACAAGAGCTACGTCGACAAGGGCCAATTGAGCTTCGCAATCGTTCCGGATATTGCTCAACCAGATGCTTTCGAGAAGGCTGTTATCTCAGACCCTCCATTCGAGGCTGTGCTTCACACTGCTAGCCCGTTCCACTTCAATGTCACTGATGTCCAGAAAGTGAGTGCGCTTGGGAAAGGAAACATGGAGCAGCTGGCTAACAAGACCAAGGACCTGATTGACCCTGCTGTCATCGGAACAACTGGCATCTTGAAGTCGATCAAGAAGAGCGCGGTATGTTGAGTCCGAAGAGTGCACAATTTCCGTTCGCATGCTAATGATACCGTGTAGCCCTCCGTCAAGAATGTCGTCATCACATCCTCGTTCGCCGCCATCGTAAACGGAAGCAAAGGTTTCTGGCCAGGACACGCATACTCCGAGGACGACTGGAACCCGATCACACAAGAAGAGGCCACAGAGAACCCCATGATGGGATACAGAGCAAGCAAGACGTTTGCTGAGAAGGCTGCATGGGAGTTCGTTGAGAAGGAGAAGCCCAACTTCACCGTCTCCACGATCAACCCACCGATGGTCTTTGGACCGATTGTAAGTCTTGCGATGCACTCTTCAACTCAATCGCTAACATGCACCAAGGTACACGCTCTTGACAGTCTTGACAACATGAACACCTCGAACCAGCGTATCCTGTCAGCGGCACAAGGCAAGTTCAAGGACGAGATCCCACCCAGTGGTGTACATCTGTGGGTGGACGTTCGCGACGTCGCGGAGGCACACGTAGCTGCGTTCGAGAAGCCCGACGCAGCCAACAAGCGCTTCTTCGTCACGGCCGGATACTTCTCCAACAAGGAGCTATGCCAGATCATCAAGAAGAACTTCCCCGACTTCAAGGACCTGCCGAGCGACTCAACACCAGGCGGCGACTACCCTGAAGGCACACCTGAGAAGGGCCTCTACACATACAACAACAAGCGCTCCATCGACATTCTTGGCCTCAAGTACAAGACTTTCGAGCAGTCGATTGTCGACTCTGTCAAGTCTTTCCAGAAGAAGGGATTGTAAATTGTAGATCGATTATTCGGAAGGATGGATGAACGGCAATAACGGTATTCGATTGACTATGTACACTATTTGGACGGCGCACTTGTTTGAGCGGCAGAGCATCGGTCGCGTGCATGGCAATCTGAAGAAGACATGTTAGCATATGCAATCTCCATGTAATAGACAATACAGAATGTGTATGGGCAATCAGCCTGTTGAGCTTGAAATTTTTTGGACTTCACCGTCTTTGACTCGGAAGTTATCGTTTGTGTTGATCATCATAATGCAGGGAGTTGGGAGAGATGGTGATGACTTACCGATGAGTATTGCGACGCGACGCTGACCACAACATTGGTGCTGCATGAAGCTGTTGATGGCCAGCGATGGTGTGAGAGGAAAGAGCAGGCGCGAAGCCTCGAAGAAAATGGCAGGCTTCGGCTGAAAACCGGGCCGAGCTCTTCCAAGCCTAGCGGCTGCCCCACCAACGAAGCCCATCGATGGCGGGCAGTGACAGCAAAAGCCCAAACACTTTCTCGACAATTCCACGTCACATCGCTCTATCGCCGTCGCGTACCTCGCAGCCACCCCGTAGCCAACTCCATTCTTGATCAGACAAGCCACGTCCGAGAAATCGCAAAGATGTGTAAGTTGCCTACCACTACCCCACCACGGCCTCGATGCGCACTCGGCGGACGTGTATAGCCTCTGGTTGTAGGCGCAAGGCTTTACAAGGAAGATGCGGGAAATTTAAGACATGATGCTATTCTCACGTTCATGTCGCCACGCTATGTGTACAGTGCAGAACTGACTCCTTCCGCAGCCGACTTCAACGCCATCGCTCGTATGTACCACCGGATACAGCAAGCACAACCCCGCCGACATGCCCTCCACGATCGCTCCATCCATCAAACCGCGACTGACCCTTGCTCCAGAGCAGTTCGTCCAGTTCTACTACAAGACCTTCGATGAGAACCGCGCTGGTCTCGGTGCCCTCTACGTACGCGACTCAATACCGTGTGCGCAAAGCAGCAGTCGGCTGACAAATGCTATAGAAGGAGACTTCTATGCTCACCTTTGAGGCGCAAGGCACTCAGGGTTCCGCTGCCATTGTAGAGAAGCTCCAGGTAACGACGATTCTGCCTACGGAACAGGGACGGGGCTAATGCAGGGAAGAACCTGCCATTCCAGCAGATACAACACCGTACCGACACCGTCGACGCCCAGCCTTCCGCCGATGACGGTATCCTTGTGCTCGTCACCGGTGCGCTTTTGGCAAGTCGTTCCCATGTATCGTTACATCCGGCCTTGACTAATACTGAACAGCTTGCGGGCGAGGACAAGCCAATGAGCTTCACCCAGGCCTTCCAGCTCAAGAACGCTGATGGCAACTGGTTCGTTCTGAACGACGTTTTCCGTCTCGTATACCCCGCCGCGTAGGCTATCCGCTCGCTCTTGAGCTTGATTTCACCACACCGGTGACTTCGGGGGCATGCATAGAGAGTCACTGAGTCTTAGCGACTTTGAACACGACTGACGCGATTTTCTTATGAGTTTTGAGCATTTTGGCGGAGGCAACATAGGTGCGGATGGGATCGAGGATCGATGCTTGACGCAGTCGTCTTTGGGAGTGTAGCTACTCACGAGTTCTACACAGGTAGATTGAGCCAAATCTTCAAAATCGACTTGCCTTATTTGCAGCCTACTACAGCGTCTCGAATGACATCTATCATCGTGCATATGCATAAGCCTTTTCCATGCGGCGGGTTTGTTTTCCGTGCATGACGCGGAAGAGAGCTTTGCCGCCATTCCTCCGCCCCGCGCTCACTTGCCGAAGCGAAGCTCCACGCCTTCCTCGGACCTGGAGCTTAGCTTACAACGACCATGGCCTCGTCGCGCGGCAAAAGCCAGGACATTCTGTCTCTTACTCGCAAGCATCGGCATTGCTTCACTTCGCATCTCTTATTCTCTTGATACCCTCCTCGATCCTTTAGCGTTCCATCACAGCCCATCGCCTCACAATGGCTTTCATCCAGAAGGGTCTCAAGAACATTCTCCAAAAGAACCCTCACGATGTTGTCTTCCTATCAGCACTTCGCACGCCAGTCACAAGAGCGAAGAAGGGTGGACTGCGCGATGCATATGAGCATGAACTTCTAGGAGCGGTATGCCATCCCCAGCACCTGCAGTACACAGACCCAAGTCCTAACAGCATCCTAGGTTCTCAAAGCCACAATGGCCAAGTTCCCCAACCTCGACCCCGCGAAAATAGACGATATATGTGTCGGCACCGTTCTCGCAGAGCTCGGTGGCTCAAAAGCCGGTCGCATGGCCGCGAATCACGTCGGCATACCCACCACAACCTCCTTCAGCACCGTAAACCGCGCCTGCGCATCTGGCCTCTCCGCCATAACCTCAATCGCGAACTCGATTGCCGTAGGACAAATAGAAGTCGGTATTGCAGGCGGCATGGAGAGCATGACACGAAACTACGGCAGCAGGGCCGTACCCACCGAACTCTGGCCCGAGATGAAAGAAAGTCCCGTGAAGGAAGCCAGAGACTGCATAATGGCCATGGGAATAACCTCCGAAAACGTCGCATCACGCTACGGCGTCAGCCGCGCCGACCAAGACGCCTTCGCCGCCGAATCACAACAGCGCGCCGCCAAAGCACGGAGAAGCGGCCTCTTCGACGACGAGATCGTACCCGTAACCACCCGCTGGATCGAGCCTGAAGTTCCCGAGAACATAAAAAGCATCACCGTGACGAAGGACGATGGAATCAGGCCTGGAACAACAGTCGAGAAACTCGCGGAGATGAAACCTGCGTTTATCAAGGACGGCACAAGCACGGCGGGAAACAGCAGTCAAGTCTCCGACGGCGCGTCTGCAGCGCTGATGATGCGTCGGTCCACCGCTACGACCCTCGGTCTGGAATCCCACATCATCGGTAAATGGGCGGGAACACAAGTCGTTGGCTGTTCGCCCGATGAAATGGGCGTCGGGCCCGCGTTAGCCATTCCCAGACTGCTCGACTACACTGGTCTGCAAACATCTGATGTAAATGTTTGGGAGATCAACGAGGCCTTTGCTAGTCAGGCGTTGCACTGCATTCGGACGTTGGGGTTGGAAAATAAGATGGACAAGGTGAATCCGAATGGAGGGGCTATTGCGTTGGGGCATCCGTTGGGGGCGACGAGTGGCAGGATGTTGGCTACGCTGTTGAATGAAATGGGGAGGAGTGGTGAGCAGGTTGGTGTACTGAGTAAGTGTATTGGGACGGGTATGGGGATGGCTAGTTTGATCATTAGGGAGTAGACAACGACATATCAGAAAATCAGAACTCGTTCATATTAGATTGAGGGTATTTTGCTGTTCGACATTTGTTCTAAACCTCCCTCGGAGGCAACTGGGTATCGAAATAAAGAAAATATTAACGCCAGTGGATATGCATCGCCCTCTTCAAGGCTATCGCTGTTATTCCCTATGCCCTTGCCTTCTTACTCTTCTTCTTTGACCGCTCAGCTAGAATCTCGTCGAGGAAGCTCTTAGGTTTTGTCCTCGCTTTCTTGGGTGCTGATTGTGTGGTTTCGGCTTCTTCATCCTCCTCCTCCTCCTTCTTGATGGGTTTTGCGTCTGCTTGAGCTTCTGTGGCGACCTCTTCTGATATTTCCTCCTCGACTTTCACAGTACCGCCTTCTAACCTCTTCGCCCTCGCCTCTTCATCTTCGTCGTCGCTGTCCGGCAGCTTCGCTTCTTGCTTCACCTTCTTCTTCTGTCTCTTGGATTTGAATGTCGCAGCTCTCCCCTCTTCATCATCGTCCGACTCTTCTTTCTTTGCAGCAAGCTTCTTGTAATGTTGAGCCTTGGAGGCTGCATTTGGCCTCGCAGCTTCTTGTTTCGCAGTAATGTGGGCTTTTGCTTTCTTTTTACCAATCAACTGTTGCAACAGTTTGTCGTCTGATGTTCGTATCCTGCTGGTGAAGCTGCCATCTTCGATATCCTTGGGAACTATGCCGCCGACACCGATTCTGGAAATACTGTCAGAAATGCGATCGGCAACACAACAACGCATATTTACCTGTCGTGAGCGTAATTTTGTTTCAGGTCTTGATCATCGTCTTCAACTTGTGTTTTCGCATCACCATCCGCAGTGCCCCAGTCCGGCCGCGACCCATACAGCGACGCCAAGAGTTTCTGGCCCTTTGCCTCTAGCAGACTTATGCGATTTGCGATGACATCGCCCTCATTATCTCGTTTAGACATGGTTGCGCGATTACTTGGACGCGCATCAAGTTCCAGTCGCTTGGTGTTACAGAAGTTCCCGGCCGCGATATTTTTGAGAGGACCCGGTTCATTCTCGGCGCGCTAGCAGACGTCCGCAACAGCCCTGTGAAGCCGCAACACCAACGGAGCTGTGCACTCCAGCTCTACCCCCTCCAACTCGCCTCCATATACCCACACGTGTGTCTGCCGCTCAGACATCATGTACAACTTCGCCCGCGCCCGGCCGCTGGCTCGCGCTGTCCGCGCTGCTGCTGTATGTCCACGGGCCTACTCCGCAAAGCTGCGAAAGCCTCTTACGCAGCGTGCACCACACTGGGGGGTCATATGCTAACACGGCCTATGAGACACCGTTGAAGCGCTCTGTCGTCCAGCAAAGGAGAGGTCTCGCCATCCACGAATACAGGTCCGCTGCCCTGCTCGAGTCGGTACGATTACTCCACCGCATGTCCACCAATTTCGAGGGTCCAGATATCTAATGCGAATTTCAGTACGGCATCGGCGTGCCCAAGGGTGGTGTCGCTACCAGCGGCGCCGAGGCAGAGAAGATCGCCAAGGAGATCGGTATGCGACAGCAAGAGTGAATGCAGAGTCGTGGGCTAATGCGCGCAGGCGGAGAGGATGCCGTTATCAAGGCCCAGGTTCTCGCTGGAGGCCGTGGAAAGGGTACCTTTGACAATGGCTTCAAGGGCGGTGTCAGAGTCGTCTACTCGTATGCTACATCGCAACCATAACACGACTCCGGCCACCCTCTAACACAACATGCAGTCCCCGCGAAGCCTCCATCCTCGCCGACCAGATGATCGGCCACAAGCTCATCACCAAGCAAACTGGAGCCGCCGGCCGGCTCTGCAACTCCGTCTTCATCGTCGACCGCAAGTTCGCCCGCCGCGAGTTCTACCTCGCCATCCTCATGGACCGCGCTTCACAAGGACCCGTAATCGTCGCTTCGTCGCAAGGTGGCATGGACATTGAGACTGTTGCCAAGGAGCACCCCGAGGCCATCATCACCACCCCCATTGACATCCACAAGGGTGTCACCGACGACATCGCCCGCAACATTGCGACCGAGCTCGGTTTCTCAGAGCAGTGCATCGAGGACGCTAAGGACACCATCCAGAAGCTCTACCAGGTCTTCATGGAGAAGGACGCTACCCAGATTGAGATCAACCCTCTGTCTGAGACCACCGACCACCAGGTTCTCGCCATGGACGCCAAGCTCAACTTCGACGACAACGCCGACTTCCGCCAGAAGGAGGTATTCGACTGGAGGGACATCACCCAGGAGGACCCCGAGGAAGTCAAGGCCGCCAAGGTTGGCCTCAACTTCATCAAGCTCGACGGTGACATTGGCTGCCTCGTCAACGGTGCCGGTCTCGCTATGGCTACCATGGACATCATCAAGCTGAACGGAGGCGCGCCCGCTAACTTCCTCGATGTTGGTGGCGGTGCTACACCCGAGGCTATCAGGCAAGCGTTTGACTTGATCACCAGCGACCCCAAGGTTACTGCTATCTTTGTCAACATCTTCGGTGGTATTGTCCGCTGCGACGCTATCGCCAAGGGTCTCATCCAGGTCGTCAACGAGATGAACCTCAAGACTCCTGTTATTGCTAGGTTGCAGGGTACCAACATGGAGGCTGCTCACAAGCTCGTAAGTCACGCCAAAAACCACCAGCTTTAAAATACCACTCATACTAACACATCATGTCCCAGCTCAACGACTCGGGCCTCAAGATTTTCTCCATCGACGATCTCCAAGCCGCCGCTGAGAAGTCCGTCCAGTTCTCAAAGGTCGTCAAGATGGCGCGCGACATTGACGTCGGTGTCGAATTCACTCTTGGTATTTAAACTCTTTCAGCATGAACCCTTTGCTGGCTGACCACGTTTGTGCATGATAGGTTTGTAGATAGATGGAAGCCGAAATTGAGCAAGCGGTGTGTCTTATGAAAGTTTGTTTGGTCTTTGATCATTTGTTGTTTTGTGTGTGGTGGTGTGATTTTGGCTCGTGTCGTGTGGTGATGATGTAATGGGAGGTGGCGCGAGGCGCTGACAGATAACCCTGCCGGTGTATGACCACTGACACAGCTTGATGATGATCATCATCACCATCCTCACGACACTATGATCCGGTCGAAACAGCAGTTCACAGACCCAAGTATCGTATATACGCTCATTGTTCAAGCGGACGGAACATCGTGTAGACATGATGGCTTTTAGGGAAGGGTGCGGAACACCCCAACGGACGCACCGCATCAGAGCATTGTACTCTTGATTTTAGGCAACGCCACGACAGCACGCACCACATACGTTGTACATTCGTGATTTTGAGAAGAGCACGCCTCATCCCCAGTTTGTGAGGTAGTTTTGGAGAGAAGAGCACTGCTCATGACCTGCTGATCATCTAGTTTTGGAGAGAAGAACACAGCTGATGTCCCACTTGGCTTCACGTTTTTAGAGAAGCGCAGCTGCACACACCATGTGAGGGCGCACCGATGTTTTGGAGAAACAGAAGGAAATGTGGATAATGAAGAGAAAGGAAGAAGAGAGGCGAGCGGAGGTATTTAGACCTCTTCATCCACGTGCCGACCGCACATGTTGTCTTCGCCGTAATTCTTTTGGTAGTGGGTATGTTGATAGAGAGCTTGAAAAGACGATCTCCATCGCAAAAGCACTTTATGGTTCTTAGTAAGAGAGGTATGGGACTCTGCGCACCACATCAGGCTGGACCTCAGTTGTTTTGGAGTTTTGAAGGTAGAGGTGGATGTACAGAAGAAGGCAGAGAAGCGGCGAGAAGAGGTTTATATACCCGTGTGAAGGCTTATGCGCTGCACATACATATCTGCTTCGTTCTTTTCAATCTCGAAATGCTGTTTTGAAAAGTTGAACGGGCGCTTTTCATATCGCAGTCTCGAATTCTTTTTGGAATAGAGGGATGGCTCTTTGCGCAACATCCCACGAGAGGCACGATCTTTTTGGGCTGAAGAAGGTCGAAGTGGAGTTTCAGGAGAAGGCGGGAGAAGAGACATAAATACGTCGACATGTAGCTTCAATCCACCTGCCTAGTCTACATGGGTGCTGAACAGCGAAGTTTGTTGTACTCGATACGTTTTGCAGAGGTCGGAGGAATAACCTCACATATTGAAATAGCGCCGTGTTTTGACTCGGAGAGAACAGGATCATGAACGTCAGCGCTCTTATTTTTCGGATAATGCAAGAGGATTGCGAATGTAGAGAAGAGATATCGGCACGCGAGCGCGGCGTTTTATAATGCTCTGCTCGCTTGGCGGACGCACATTTCAGCCTTTTCAAAGACTTTTAATAACAGGTGTGACCACCTTAAGGGTAGAGAAAAGCTTCTTATAAGTGAAGACTTAGGCTGGTTTGAAGAAGACGACAGCAACCAAAACATTCAAGCGTTTTGACGGAATTTCTGGTAAAATTGGAAAGAGGCGTAGGTGTAGAAAGAAAGACCAGAAGGAGCAGCGAGCGCAGGTTTATATGCTATTTTAGAGACGATTTACTCGCACATCAATGCGATCGATGGTCCTTTTGTGTATACTCGGTATATAGATCTGAATCGAAAAGCCGCTTATTATGGGTAGTGGTAACAGTCACTTTGGAAGACGCAGCAGTCGCGCACAGCATGCGCAGATGGTACTTCGATTTGGAGAATGCACGGAAGGTGCGGATAGTAACAAGAACTGTGAGGCAGAGAGGGCCGAATACGAGGTTCTGTACTTGTGACTGAGTATCTGGCGCACGTGAGACGTAGTTGACCAGCTTTCTTGTAGGTATTGGATATGTTCGTAGGAGTCGGAGAGGCGACGCCCATCAGGCTTGCGTCGCCAATTTTTGGACTAAGAGAGAGCCAGGCATAGCATGGAGACCTCTGCGTTTTCGTTCAAACAGTCTGAAGAGTTTGGAAAGTAAAGAGGAGGGAAGTAGAAAGACGAGCAACTTCGGGTTTTATATGAGCTGGAAGAAGCTCTCACCACGCATAACTGGCTCGCGTGCTCTTTTTGGGGACATCAGGTATAAGAATCGAAATCATCGGGACGCTTCGCATATGTAGACTCCAAATTGCTTTTAGTGTTGCTCATGCAAAGCCACCGCATCTCAATATGTCGCTGTTCTCATCTGGCTACGCAGGAGAAAGCCATGATGACAGTGCAGGTAGCTTTTGAATGAATGTATGGACGGAGACATGTGCAGCTCTCCATAGGCTTCTGAACTGCGAGTTTTGGGGAGATATCGAAGTCGAGGTTGCGGAAGGAGAAGAGTGGCAGACGGCGAGGAAGTATATATGCTGCAAACTCTCATAAGCTGAGCCACGATGACTTTTAGCTTCGCTGTGTCAGCACATGAATGGCGGGTATTTTCGCATTTCGTCAGCGTGACGCGTTCTCGTCGTTCATATGCACGATCATTTCGCCAAACGAAATGGTTTTTGTCAGACCGAGACTGGTGCTCAAGAATGCTCATCAACAGGTTCTGGTATGCTTTTTGGAGAAGGAACGACGACAGACGGCCATACTATGCATGCGATCCTGTTTCAGTATTCCCTGGGCAAGGTGGTGGATGAAGAAGAAGCACTTGTTGAAAAGAATAAGAGTTTACATGCTCGTCGCCACCGGCGGTCAAAATGCTCATTGTCAGAATTCCAATCCTATTTGTTTCTGGAGTGAGGCTATCGCACAGTCGGTGAAATCCATCTGACCGTGCTGTATGAATTTTGAAAAGAGGGAGAGAAGAGAGACAAGTATCCTTTATGCGCTGTCTGGCTTCTCGTAGTCGGCCAATTTGAGCGAAGACATCAAAATTTCGCGAGTGAATTTCGAATTGGGCAGAGTGCGGACACACCATATGGTGTTTCCCGACCGATTTTGAAAACATCGATGAAAGTTATGAAGATTCAAATAATAGGACAAAGAAAGAGGTCGTGTATTCACTCGCTTTAGCGGTGCGAATAATGATTCCGA